TTGGCTTTCAGATCGGCCAATTGGACCACTATGAGCGATAGCTTGAAGGGCGGTATTGGGAGCGACTTCGATGAGGTCTTCTTGATTGGTGAGGCTGGCAGTGGCTTGAGCAGGGTTTCCTTGATCGTTGACTTCGAGCGGATTGTCAGTGATGTCTTCAGAAATATTTTGGTTGGGGACATCTTGAGCAACAGTTCCTGTTACGCCATCAGAGCCATCAATAATTACATGGGTTGAAAGGTCGTTTAAACCATCATCGCTGCTAACGTCGACCATACTTCTGACTGAAGGCTCGTCGTTGTTATCAGTATTCGTGGACAAAGGAGTTTCCTGATGTGTTGAAAAGCGGGAAATAACATTATTGACAACCTTGTCGGAACTGCTTTCATCATTTGTTAAGCTGGATCGGCTACGACGTTGATTTTTTGGCAAGGGACTACCGTTATCCTTCATGGAAGCAATGTGACTTGGGGATGCTAGACAATCATTACCACTTGGAACTTCGAGAACGTGCTTTTCAGCTGCGTCTGTTTCAGGTGTATTGGCCAGTTTAGCTTGGTTGAATTGGAGACGCTTCATACTAGCATTTGTCTCACGAACCCTAGAGACAACCATATTTTTGTCTTCTGGAGGGGTCAAGAGTTGTAGTTTTGTCGAGGCGCCGTAGGCAGTGCCAATCTGAGCAGTGCCAACTTCAAAGACTGAATCGGTGTCCGAATTGTAGGCGAATGAGGATGTACCAACAAAGGCGGAATCTTGAGTATGAGATTCTGTAGCAACAGAGTCTGTGAGGGAAATTTCTTCAATCGCGGATTTCTTAGCAACGGGTTTTGGCTGAAGGATGGGGAATTGCAAAGCGGACGAACTGAGATCGGTCGCATCCAGTAAACCACGGCGCTCGGGCGAATTTTCGAGGCGGAAAATCGGCTTAGGCGGCAATTTCTTATTGAGCGACAGTCTGGTAGGCTACTAGTGGTCAGATTGAGATTGATTAAGCCGCGGTATGTTTGAGATAATGTAAGTGATGAGGGGCTGTGTATTGGGACGACATACCATCATTGTAAAGGGTGTGTCAATGTCTGAAATGTCGAGCTCGTACTCAGCAATCATTACCTTAGAAAGCTTTGAGGGTGTATATGGAGCAGTGTCGTATTGATTGCGATTCCCTCGATTTTGTTGGTAACGAGCAAGACTTCGTAATGTTCTGGTGCTAGAGTCGCGTCTCAATCTTTTGTGAGGAGATCGAGATGATTTGCCAGAAGTTTCGAGATAATAATCAATATTGAATCCTTTACAATCAGGTGTGGTAAAGGACTCTGGTGAGGTGTATTGGTATTGTTGTTTCGTATTGAAGCTGTTGGTGCGTTGCCTATTCATGCGAGAGCTTGCATCTGTTAACACACCCCGATGATGGACATTGCCATCATGCTTCGGAGTGGCTAGTCCGCCAATCATGTTTGAGTATTCCACCATGATCAGCTTTGATGAAATTTTCTTTAAACTGAACTTCTCTTCAATGGAACTGAAACTGAAGCAGATGAATGGATTTCGAAACAAAATTATCAAAGAGAATTTGAATTTTGATTCAACACCGCAGAATCAAAATGCAAATGATGAAGGCAAAATGATAGATATCTTACAACACCAGATTTGAGTAGTGACAAGTTTGCACCTGGTTGTGGTGTTTTGTTGGTTTATTGAGGTCGAAAGAGAAAAGTGGAAGAATTAAGATCTCGAGAGACAATACCTACTCAGTTGTATGAACAACTGTGTGTTGCTAGCTGTGTTGCTAGCGTGTCCGAAGGAAAGCCGTGAGCCGAACCAATACTACTCTTTCAATACCTCTGCCGCCCTAATGTAATCTTTTGGGACATTATTCTGTTTGAGGCTATGCTGTGGGCTACCTAAAGAATATGCTACGAGTTTACAGATCTGTTGAAGAGAAGTCTGCAGTGTGAGACAACAGAAAACAATGATTGCATACACTTTGGTTGCTGGGGTGGTGTATACATCTAGATAAAGAAGGAAGAAGGTTTCTACTGTTTCAGAGAGAAGATTTGAATAGCAAAAGAAGCAACAGTGTCTTGTGAGGAGTTAGGGTGACTTGTGAACCTCTGATTTGAGAGAAAAGTCCTTGGGTCAATTGATAGAGCTCTATACTTCCATGTAGCATGCCTACTCTGAGTCTGTCTGCTTGTGTATATATCAACTTTGTGAGTTTCTAGGAATCCTAGTTGCCAGTATCTTTGACATAGATGTGAAGTGATACTCATGTAGCTCAAAGCTGGAGAGATTTCCATAACAAAACAACAGCATAGAGTCACACTTTACATAATCAAAGGATTTGATCTCCAAATCTGATATAAGGACACAGCTAAAGAGCTACAATGTTGATGCCTCATGTCATGATGTTTGATTTGAGCAAAAGACAACAGAAGCAATACAATACAATACAAAGGGGATGAAACCAAATATGATCCTTCTTAAGAGTATGATTCAACATCACTTGATTTCGAGTATTCACTCTCATTTCTCCCGTAGCCACAACGCAGATATGAGGTGACGTTGAAGTGAGGTTGGAGTGAAGTCTTGAATTGAAGTGAGGTTCAATCACAATGTTTTGTGGATCACCAATCAGAACGATCATTTTCAGACTTACATTAGTCATCACTGCGGGAGTTCCCTGGCGCTCTCTCTAACAGAAGTTAATATACTAGATCCCGTAACTAGGTAGTTAGTTAAATACTTTTATTATGATGATGATGATGATGATGATGATGATGATTTATACACAGTAGGGCGGTATCAGTACCTTGAAGATTTCTACACATAAATAATTCATATCCAATATCGTCCGGTAAAATGATTACCTACCTATAGTACTCACAAAGGTAAGGTAACATCTTACATCGAATCATATTCATCCGATTCCAACACAGTTGATTATTGATTACCTAAGCACACATCTCTCTTTCTCCGTAGAGTAAATCCAGCTGGCTATGCACGGACCCTTAGCGCCTTCCCGGTTCATTTACGTCACTAAGTGGGCAAATGGTGAAAGCTTTAAGTTTCATAGGCCAGCTCTTGATTTCTTCAACATAAGAAGCAATCTTGTACTTTGAATCCAGAGCATTGTCTTTCTATACCTTCTAATACCCAATTGACGTTACATAATACCAATTTTCATCATGTTTGCAAGACAAACCCTTAGAGCGGCTCAGCCATTGAGAAGCGTAAGTTGGAGCTTTCTGCTTTTTTTCTCGCTGCTGTGGAGCTCGAAGCTTGCAGCAGATAGCTTGCTTGGATATCACAGCACGACGGCTTGCAATACCCGAACACATTATTCAACACAAGCTAACAAATTGGTATATAGCAATACCGTCGATATGCTACCGAATCCTCCAGCGGCGGTGGATCGAATGCTGCCTTGTACGCCGGTCTCGCAGCTGCAGCAGGCGCTGGAGCATACTACTTCTTGAACCAGGGAGATAATGCCGCAAAGGTCAAGGATGCAGCAAAGGACGCAGAAGCTAAGGCAAAGGAGGCTGTTGGACAGGGTAAAGCTAAGGTCGAAGGCGCTGTTGGGAAAGCTGCTTTCACTGGTGGTGACCAAGGCTTCATCAGTCTTAAGCTCGACAGCGTGGAGAACATCAACCACAACACCAAGAAATTCAGATTTGAGCTTCCTGAGAGTGGCCAAGTTAGCGGGTTACAAGTCGCTTCTGCTCTTCTTACCAAGTATAAGGGCCCAGAGATGCAAAAGCCTGCGATCCGTCCTTATACCCCCACTAGTGACGAAAGTGAGAATCAGTCATAATTCCTTTCATCAAGCTTTACTGACTCTTTATTAGGCGAACAGGGATTCATCGATCTTCTTGTAAAGAAGTACCCCAATGGTGTCATGTCCGAACACATGCACGCCATGGTTCCCGGCCAAAGATTGGACTTCAAGGGACCTATCCCAAAATACCCATGGTCAGCAAACAAGCATGACCACATTGCTCTCATTGCTGGAGGAACTGGAATCACTCCAATGTACCAACTCGCACGAGCCATCTTCAACAACCCCGCCGATAAGACAAAGGTTACATTGGTATTCGCAAACGTCACCGAAGAAGATATCTTATTGAAGCGCGAATTTGAAGATCTTGAGAACACATACCCACAACGATTCAGAGCTTTCTACGTCTTGGATAACCCACCCAAGTCATGGTCTGGCGGAAAAGGTTTCATCGACAAGGAGCTCTTGAAGACTGTTCTTCCAGAACCTAAGACCGAGAATGTTAAGGTCTTTGTCTGTGGTCCACCAGGAATGTACAAGGCTATCTCTGGTCCAAAGGTTTCTCCTTCGGATCAGGGTGAGTTGGCTGGTGTCTTGAAGGAGTTGGGATACTCGAAAGAACAAGTTTATAAGTTTTAGAGGACTGCTATCATAATTTAGACCTGTAAGATAGAGATACTTATAGATAGACAGACCGGAATGAAAACCCACATATACCCGCAGCAATCTAAGCGTCTTGATTCCATTTCCGTTCTTGTCACTGCTCTATGACTTAATCTTCTGTGCTTTTTTCCCAATGGGTTTCAAATGTTTTAGCGTTAATTTCCAAACGTCTGAGAAATCAATAATTTTTTGGGTCAAGTATTCGAAAGCCTCTTCTCTCCATACTTCTCCAGAAGATTGTTTAGTATAACTTTTTTCCTTGAAATGCCGTTTCTGCAACAATGCGTATTCACAAGGTAAGATTGGTGATTAGCAACAGCAGTCGATGAATTACAATTGTTTCTCTAGATTCATCATCATTATCTCATATCTATTCTATCTATTCTATCTATTAAGTATGTCTGGCACTCCTGTATAGCCTGCTTCCCCCCGCGCCACCCATGACATTATATTCACGCTTTTCAAACACTCTAATACTTCCAACGCACGAAGATTCAAACCCAGATACAAAACCAATATTTCCATAGAAGTTCATTCTTGCACAACCCCAATATCTCTAATGCGTCGCAGCAAAGCGACTCCACCCCCTCACTTTCTCCCCATAAACATAAAACAAATACGGCACCGGCACCATGACCGCACTTATCCCTCCCAATACCGTAAGCGTCCAATGCACGCCCAGATTCTCATAAAACGGAATCCCCACCTCCACCATCCCCCCCGCAGCCACATATCTCACCAGCGTCAAACTCGCCAGTGCAGACGCCGCGTACATTTCATAGGAATCGATAATATACTGATACGTACTTATGAAAATGCACAGGATGCCAAAGCCAAAAAAGAGCGAAGCGACAAGACCCGACCAGGGAGAAATCGAAGGATAATTCGTCCACCCCATCCAGAAAAGCGAGATGGGAATAAATGGCGCGCCGAACATGGCAAACCAGAGTCGTTTTTCCGGGGGCAGTTTGGCTTTCTCTCCGTGGATGGCGCGCAGAGCTTCGAGATCTTGCTTCGCCCAGTGGTGGATCAGCGGAACGAGACAGGTGGCAAAGCAGAGCCCGATGGCAATCCCAAGGAATGCGAGTCCGGTGAGCCCCTCGCTGAAATTGTACGTTTCGCCAAAAATGTACGTGTATCCGTCGAGAAAGGTAAAGAGGATAATGTATACGACGGTGAGATACAGCGCGAAGAGCATGACGGTGGGTTCGCGCGTGATGAGGAGACAGGGTCGATACAACGCTTTGAGTAAGCGCGTTTTGAATGGATCGGCTCGGATTTCCACCTCGGACACAAATCGTTCATCGCCTGTTATGCGGCGCAGATGCGCGGCTTTCCATTTCAGCAGAATGGGCGCGAAAGTCTCGGGTTGGAATAATGTGATGAGGAGGAGGATAGCTCCGGAAAGAATCAGGGTAATCCATTCGCACCATCTCCAACTCACGAGGTGAGATTGTCCGACGAAACCCCCGACGATGGGCCCAAATATCGGTCCCATGAAGGCGGCGTTGGCGAAGACGGGAAAGGCGTACACGCGCTCCATGGGCGACCACAGATCCGATATGGATCCCCCGGCGCAGGTGAGTGGGGTGGAACCGAAAAAGCCGGCGAGGAAGCGGAAGATGAGTTGCGTGGCGAGATTGGGGGCGAGCGCGGACGCCATGATCCAGATCATGTATATGAAGAGTGTGGAAATGTATACTGGGTTTCTCCCGATGGTTTCGGATATCGGTCCTAAGTACCGTACGTATCAGCATGTACGTTTCAAGAATCACATCCAGATACCTATGTAGGTGATAGATTAAATGAACTATATAAAAAAGATAAAAACTCACCAGCAAACAACGCCCCCAATCCAAATCCCACAAGAAACAACCCCGTCGCCAACGACTCCGCAACCTCACTCACGCCAAAATCTTCCGCCGCCTGCGTCAACGCCGCGCTATCAATCGACGACGCAAAGCCGACTATAAATCCAATCGACGCAATCATGACGGTGCAGAAACTCCGCCGCCAAATCGACCAATTATGCGGATTCATGTGATCTTTCGCGCCTTCGTAACCGACGACGAAGACCGTTTCTCTCTCTCCTTGTTTGTCATTCCCTGCATCGTTTGGGTGGGGTGCTTGTCTCGATTTAGATTTGGATTTGCCCTTTGATGCGGTCCGCGTTCTCGTTAGCTGGGCAGATAATTCGCGCACCTCGATTCCCGTTAATGTATATCCCAAGCGTGTTCCGAAACTGCGCGTGGTGTGTGCTGTTGCTCGAGTGGCGATTCGATCAAGGGTTTCTGATCTCGCGTTTCCACTTTCGTCGTCTTGTTCTTCTGGTTCTGCATCATCTTTCTCTTTGTGTGGATTTTCTTCGGTATAAAAATCTAGTGAAGGGGCATTTGGTATACCTCTCTCTGCCTTCTCAATATCGTGCGTATGTAGCTCCGTTGCCGAGGATCCTGTATTATCAGAGGAGGCGGAAGAAGAAGAAGAAGAAGAACGAGGACCCCCAGACCCATCCCTTCTATTCGCATCCAAATCCAAATTCAAATTCCCAGATTGCACATCTCTATTCCCCCTCTCCAGCGCCTCTGCCCTCAATCTATCCCTCTCGAATTGGGCTTCGGTTAACCTCCCAAATCGTTTATATGTCAAATACGATTGCATACTGAAGACTTCCTCGTATGCTACCACGTATCAGAGATTCCTCATAGAATTCTCGAATTTTCCCAAGGAAAATTTAAGGGTGGAAAAATAGGTATATATATAAAACACAAAAGAACTTATAAGACATCAAACCCACTTCGGGGAAAAAACATTTACAGCGAATCTACCAACCCCATAACAACGACTCATAGTGGAACCTCTAAGCAGCATAGCTTCGTAATAGCATAGGGTACGAGCCATACTGAATCCTGATACAACCCTACAGCTGAAAAGCAGAATGAATGATAACGATTTTCTATCAACGATGACCGGACTCCGGTGGAGTTTTTTTTTTTTCATTTTTCCCCTGCAGATGGATTGTGGATATTGCAGATTGATAGTGGATATTGCGGAAGCGATACCGGTAGTGTTATGACGCAGATGACAAAGGGTGGCCGATTATAATTGGGCCTGTTGATAGATAGTGCGCAAGAAATCTTATGGCGAGGAGGGCCGAGAGCGGGGCGAACGGGGGGAGTTACCGGGAAAGCTTGTAAAGCTTATAAAATCGTAATCGGATATAACTCCGAAAATGAAGTTTCTTATTTTTCTAAGATATTTTGTAGGCTGATAGAATGACTCGAGACTACAGAGTGAAGGATAATTGACATCGATCTGGACCACATATCAATCAAGCTTAGGAAGCTAGTTCAGACTACAGTTAGGTAGTCAAATAGTAAGAGAAGCCCATGTGAATAAAGTAACTTAGTATTCTGCCATCTGTCTGGTATTATGACAATGTCCTCCCAACTCCTATTATACCCAAATTCGTCCAATTTAAGTCGCCTCAGATATCCTCAATAGACAATACCACCAATTACATCAAATCCCATCTATATGCATATAAAGACCATAAGCAAATCAGCTACCACTAATCTGCTTGCCGCTTCCTAGCGCAGAAGTAAACTGTCCAAATTCCTGACCATCAAAAATCCTTAAATACTCCGCCGCATTTCTCCATCTAGTCTGAAATCTTCTTAAACAATTTCTGATAATTTCCAATGCCTCCTGAGACTGTGGATTACGACTTTCCCTCCACTCCCACATATAATGCTGGCCTGCTGCCCACAAAGAGTCCATTATCAATGGACTAACCTTATCAAGATCGGCTTGTGTTTGTGCATGGCTATTGACACTCTCAGAAAATTGAACAACGCTAGCCGAGAAATCTTGTAGACCTTTGATGGCTCGATTCATCATGATACCTTTCTCGGAGGAGTTTGCTGTGCCACATAACCTATCTGCGGGACAAGAATAGGGGTCAAGAAGAGCAATGATGGCGCTGTAAATAATGGCAAGTGGTGTTGCTAACATGAGATAATCTCTAGAAACCATCGCCTCTTCATTGACTACACGAGCGAGGATAGAACAATTATCGAGGAGCTGACTTGCAATGTCAAAACGGGCTGTCTCGGTTGGAATCTGCTCAGTGTAATGGTGACGAAGAACATTTCCCAAAAGCACAGATCCTTGACAAAGTCGAGCAAATGGTGTTACAGACTCGGGGAGCGGAGTAGACACGTGCTTCTGAACTGTTTGAGTCATATCGCCACTATCCTAAACACCAATTAGTTCAATTTAATCGGAAGTCTGAATTGAGAACTTACCCATGCAACATCATCCACAGGTAAAGGATCATCTTCTTTTGGTTCCTGGGTAGTTAATCGGTGATTCTTGCTCCCAATCGAGACCATTCTATGTCATGTGAGTTTTAGAAATTTGGACTTGTGGTGAAAGTCTCACCTATCGAGTATAAGAACACCCCACCATGTTCGATATCGCTCTTCTTGTTCGGTCCAAGTATCCTGAATATTGGTCCCAATTAGAAATGTAAAATTGAAAGGGGAAGTATTGCTTACAACAGGGCCAACTAATGAAGGAGAGGTATCAAAATCGTTGATACCTAATAAAACAGCGTAGCGAGAACACCAGCCAGCAGACATCCAAGCTGCAGGGTATATTGCTTGGCCATACTCATAGAGAGTAATAAGAATGCTAGCTTGTAACAATATCAACGACACCATTCCAGAAGCTTCTAGCAATGCAAGAAAACGCTTTGCAGCGATGTACATTGGATTTTGACCACATCCTTGGCCATCTACTGGTTTAGATGTGATGAGCTTCATACAAAGAAATAGCAAAACCAAGTCTGCATTACTATCCCGGGCAGGAGTAGTCAGAGTTCGTTCTAATCTCTTATGAGAGATTATCGGAAGGCAGTGGTGAATAGTTCCAAAGTATTCTAAGATGACAGCAGGTATAGCTGCTCCACTTGCCAACATTTGATTGACTTCCTATCCAGTGATTATTAGCAGGTTTCAAGGACGGATGGTTCGCATATAATGGTGATCGAGTGTAGTAAGGTCATGCACTCCAGGAAAAGAGTTCACTATTCTAACGGGTTGACAAAATATATAAACCAGACGTAGAACTTACTGCTGGTGGGTTAACCGAGGGTCTGGGGATAGTTAAACTGAAGTCTAGTCAGCGACGTAAAATTGACTCTTAGAGATCTTATCCTTGCCCTTCATTCCTGAAAATTTCATTATCGAGAACAGCCATAACAGGAAACTTATTGTGTACATTATTAAACGGACTCTCTTGTGGATCTGCATATGCAGGTATCTGAGATTGCATATATTCAGAGCCATTGTTAGGCATAGAACCATAAGGCGCATGCATATTTCCACCATTGACTTTAGCTTCAAGTTCAACTAACTTCATGCGTAAAGCATTAATATCCTCGGCGGTAGGAGCAGGAGTTTGTTCAGTATAATCACAGTGTCGTTGCATTCGGGAGCAAAGGCCACAGTGTGGAAGCACTTTATCGCACTTTCTTTTTTGTTTCTTACATGTTACGCATGCCTGCGGTGCTTTCGGCTGCACAGGCTCTGGAGATGCAAAACTCATGCCATTCGGTCCATGAGCTTCATGTGGTCCATTCGGTCCCATGGGCCCATGAATCGGTCCTTGAATCGGTCCATTCGGATGATCCATCTTCGGTCAAATCGCTCAGACGGCTCTAAAGAAAGCTACTAGGTAGGTACTTTGCTTGTTGCGGCCGCATAAATATCAACCCCGCTTGGTCAAGGGAAAGAAACTGAATTTTGACTGTTTACTATACATATTAGCATGTCTTGATTGAAAAAGTCAGGAGAGAATTGAAATGATTTACTTGATGTGTTCTTTTCTTGATTGTAATGATTATTTGGTCAAATTACTTGATGGGAAAAGTCTGAATACAAAAGTACAAAATTGGTTGATTAAGAAGAAGAAGCGGTGTTGTCGGCCGCAGTTTGATGTCTTGGAAGCTCGGACCATCGTGGAATGGTTGCTATGTCGGGTAAACCCCGGGGAATTGAATGTAAGTAACCACCATCCATTATCAAACTGCTGGATTCATAATATTGCTTCACTGCTTCGAAGATGGCACACACAGTCAACATGAAAGATTAATAAGCTACTGTACCATTGAATTACTTCGTTCTTTGGAATCAAATGGAAAGCTTTGTAAGGTTACTTCATGTTATAGTACGTTCCAATCTATCTCAATGGTTTTCCAGCTTGTCACTCACTACATTCCCAAGGAAACATCTGTTTATGCCAATACACCATCCATCCATCGGATGATCACTACTGTACATCATATCTGACCACAATATGCATCGAGCTCTGGTGCTAAATCACAAGTTAATTGTACTTCCTGGGTATATTCCACCCAAGATTGGGAAACCAACAAACAGTTGAAGCAGACATGGACTCATTCCTTTATTCCATCATGAATACAAGTGCATCCCTAGGCAAGCTGGAGAATACTGGATTAAAGGCAGGTCAGGTTCTACGATAACGAACCCAATACTAATATGACAATACTGAGTTGTAGAAGTAAGTCATTATCATACCATACTCATATTTCAATATTCTGTTCAACTGGGAGCTGCGGCATATAGGGGAAAGGAAAAACAGTTTGTTCTCATCGATACCTCACTTACTTGCTCGAAATAACGACCATTTGTCAATCCACAATCTCAATCTGAACATCTGGATCAAACTTGATCGAGTTTCCCAAGACAATATGGTCTAATCTTCAGTCAACGCGAGGATATTCAGGAAACATTTGAGATACTCAAATCAGACAGGCAAACCCTATGTTCCAATCAATCCCGAGCTTTTGTCAGACACTAAAACAGAGCAGAACGATGTTAATTCGAATACATGTTCTAAAATTTTACAGCATGCAGGTATGTGTGGTGTAACACAGGAGATAGGAAGATTTAGGAAAGTTTTGCATCCCGATACAGTATATGGACATTCCTTGGCTCACTGCTCAAATAATAGACAAGAGGGTACTTGATGCCCTGCTAAGTTGCAGTCATTCGATATTCTAAGTCGAGAACAATATTCTAAGTCGAGAACGAGACTTGAATATAATATAATCTGGTGTTCACATTAAAGCTTGGTTGATGCAATTGATTGGCTGAGAATTCGGTATTGCTTGAAGTTTTCAAGGCATTTCTTCCTTCCTAGTGGATTGAAGAGCGAAGAACCATAGTTTATGTAACGTTTCATTTTTACTAGGAACAATGGCGTATTCCCGCTCTTGTTATAATCCCCACTATGATATACGCTCGAGAATATATGTGCTGTCATAGCCTCTTGACATGAGAGGTGAAGCCACCCTAATTCTCAATGATCCATTTATTAAACATGACATCATTGATGCACCATCCATCACCAGAAGTATCTAATAACAACAGAGTGACATTAATTTATTTGTTCCCAGGTAGCCCGCGAGGTGCAAAGTGGTATCAAGTAGTAACGGTAGCTCAAGTAATCGGAATTCCCCATTTTCCTAACCCTAATCCACTAAATCCTAATCACAGTAAAGTAGAAATATTCCCAAACACCCCCAAATAATCCCAGACTCATACACCAATTCCCCGCATCAAGGACTTAATACCGCTCCGGCGATTCAGGCGAAGCAGTCAAATCATAATGATCCACAGTTTTTTGTCTCTTATTCGTTGGCGTTCTCTCCGGACCCATCGGTCTCTCTCTATTCGGTGTAGTCATCGATCTCGTAGGACTAGATGGTAGCATCGTACGAGCCGAGGAGAAACTATTAGGAGCGGTTGTTCGTATTGGTGTTTGAAGCGCTAACGTACTGGTTACTTCGTCAAGAGTTCGTTCTTTTGAATCCTGTTTGATGTTAGCTTTGAGTTTTGTTTCACTATGGGAGAGAAGAGGGTCATACGATCGATCTCTTGATTTCCCAAAAGAGATTCAAGAGTGTTCTTTCTTGATCTACAAACACTGCTGTGCGCTTCTTCTTCGCCTCCGAGTCCTGATTCCCGAGAGATGCAGTGACTTTTTGTTTTTTTTGCTTGAGTTTCAATTGGAAAGTTGAAAGTTGTTTGTTGTGCCACTATCAAGAAATGAGAGGTTAGTTATCTCTTTTAATTAGATAATTCAAAGGATTAGATATGAAAAAACTACCCACATCCTCCATCTGCCTTGGCCAGTCCTCCGGAATCGGCATCGTCTTATCCAGACTTTCAATTCTCGTCTGCAATCCCAAAGCCAAGTCTCCAATAAAATTCGCTGTATCAGTATCATATCCATCACATTCTTTCTGAAATCTTTTCTGTAAACTGTGAGTGAAATGCCGAGCTTCGTTGTCATTCGCCTCGTACATTTGGGAAAGTTGGTTTGCGATAGCGGCTAAACCGGGTCCAAGTGGTTCATTCTCAATGTGTGCGAGAAAGTCGGACATATTAGAGTGGATATCGACAGGAGTTTGGATGGCCAGTTCCCAGGACTTGAGCTTGCGCCCGCCCATTCCTTTTGCGGGTGTTAGTGCCGCGGACATTCTTGTTTGCAGATTGTTGTTGTGGTGACGGCTGCGCTGGGAGTCGATGATGGGAAATAGTAGGTAACTTTTGATCTCGAGAGATTTCACTAGGCGATCCTAGAAAAGGGGGAAATATCGTCGCGAGTAGTTTTGTAAAGCTACAACTCGCAAGACAAAATACACTCTCTAAATATTTTGCGAGAATTGCCTTAGGCCTTCAAGAATAAGATAAATATGACTCGAAACACATCCAAACCATGAAAGGTAACACTCAAACTCAAAGAAGTAAACTGAGCCTCGATTCAAAAATTAATTAAGAGGGGAAGTGATCTTAAATACTCGTAAAAATCTTGATGTTTTATGTAGAAAAAAAGTTGAAGAAATTCAGCCTCGAAAGCAACTCCTATATATGTAAAATTAATACAAGTAGTGAATTTATAACTTGCTCAGAACACGTGTTTTTACAAGATCTTGCTGTGGAAGAAAGAGTGAATACCCGATTGTAAATCGTGCAGAGCTTGGCTGAGAAGGAAAGGTGAAATTTTGTATTGGCTTTTATGGAGGATATTGAATCTTGTGATGAAGGAATGAGTGAATAAGAGCATGTACAGTAGGTATATTGAGAGACTTGAGTACGGCAGTGGATGGGATTAATGAGATGGCGCCATGTAGGTAAATGGTTAATATCTTTGTGCTTGTGATGAAAGACTCGAGATAGGGCTGGCTGTTCTTGTGATTTTCCTTTAGCTGCAAGAGGCCTGGTGAGTTCTAGCATTTATAAGAGGATTTCCTGGTAGAGTGGCTGTGCTTGAGGACTGTCTGAATGTGAGAATATAGCTGCCAAGTGATGTTTTGCTAGTATTGTTGTAGGTAGTTGTTAAACTATGTAACTTTCTCGATGGTACATAATTTAACGCAAATACGCATATGCGGTCATATCGCGGTTGATACAAAGGATATAAACTGTACATTAGTTAGGGTAACGAATCCTTTGCTCTCCCTAATCATCAACGGTAATCCCTAAAGCTCACCTCTCGTTTCCTGGTAAAGCTAAGTATACTCACTTTGTGAATCATCGAGTTGCTTCGAAAGTTCTCCCGCAGTTGGGAACGTTTCTATTGTTTTAGATCTTGTTCCGTATATGACGAGAGAACCATCCGCACTGAACAGCATTCTGTAGGGTCTAAGAGAGAAAAACAGCTATGCTCCTAATATCCCCTCCTCGTTGACGCTACGTTTTAGAACAGACGTTGTTCTACTGCCCTTCTAGATCCCATTCTCGAGTTATCTAGGCCATGAGTAGCATCTTCCTAGATCTGTGTATCTGTCGATTTCAAAAATAGTGAAAGTAGATAGATTCCTTCTCCTGACCACTTTGCTTCTTCTCTATTCAAGCGCAAATCTTCTCCCAATATCCTCGTCTTTATTCTTCAACTAGAATAGGACGCTTCCCAGCCCATAATCAGAGTAACAAGCAAGGATTCTGCAAATCCAAGGCTCCGCAGAATACAATTGTATTAGGATTCGTCGGAGATTGATGTCTCCTGAGCAACAGATGTTCCCAGTAGGTTATGCATATACATCCAAGGTATATATATCCCCTAAAGAATTTCCCCATACACAACACTTTCTAAGTATCCCACACCTCCATGCTCCCCTCCATCCTCCCTTCTCCATTCTCCATTCTCTACCTTTCACCCCTTTACAACTCACCACCCTCCTACCCACAGCCATATCAAACTTCACAATGACTCAAGTAAAATGCCTGTTCTGAGTCACAACTCCCAAACATTGCATCTCAATTAGCCTCCACCAGAATATCTCAGTGAGAATATTTCTTTGTTATCGTTATCATTTTATCAAACCCAGGAGAGTTACACGCGTATTCTACATGATGAATACAAGTCAATATGACTTGATGCAAGCACTAATAGAATCGAATATATGAATCATCAATCTCTCTTTTTTATCATTCAACTTCTATCAACAAACACTTATTATAAATTTGAACATATAGTATACACAATACGTCATCACAACCCACTCAATCATAAAACATAGATATCACGCCCAGGAATCATACACATAAAAACATGAAGTTTACAATATCAATTGATTTGTTCATAAATGCGTGCAAGACATCTAAGATCATCTTATCTCATCCATTCTTCATTCTTCATCCTTCATTCACCCATTCTCATCTTCTTTTCCTTCGAAGCCCTTCCCGTGCTCAAAAATCTCATTTCATGTTCAAATATCCGTGCGTGCATTCACCACCCCATCCTGAAAGTTTTAGCCATAATACAATTTTGGGTGGCTGCAAAAAGAATCTAAAGCAAAATTCAGGTACTAGGCTTTAAAAGAAAGACTTCCCATGAACGCCATGGCAGGAATGTGAAAAGACCCCAAATGCTAATGAACAAATCTTCAGCTTGAAAATTATGAGCAGATAGACCCAGAACTCCCGAAAACCATATGCATATTCTTTTTTTAGGCAATGTTGATACATTAAAGAAGGGAAAGAAAAATCAGTTGTTTCCACCGCGAGGAGATCTATATTATATTAGCACTTGAAGATTGATTCTAATGATATTGGTTTGACTTACGACGGAGAAAAGTTGGGAGAGGTAGGAGAGTAAGAAGGACTGGTTGGAGAATATTTTGGAGAAGTGCTGTTGCCTTGGTGTTGGGGTGAAGACGGACTCCAATTTGGAGAGGTTGGTGAGTATACAGGACTGGTTGGCGAAAGACCTGAACCTGGAGACACTTTATTTCCAGCATAGTTTGGACTGGTGGGACTGTAATTTGGAGAGGTTGGTGAATAAGAGGGGGAGGTTGGACTGTATGAAGGACTAGTTGGCGATCCATGTATATTAGGAGAGGTTGGCGAGTAGTTTGGTGACGTGGGACTATACGAAGGCGAAGTCGGAGACACGAAACTTGGACTAGTAGGGCTGTAGGCAGGAGATGTGGGTGTAAACGCAGGGCTAACGGGTGAGAAGTGAGGCGAAGGAGCATATCCAGGACTTGCACCACCTCCCATGGCTGGCGAAGTTGGACTGTAGCCGGGACTGGAAGGAGAAAAGTTTGGCGAGGATGGAGATGAGTTGAAAGGACTTCTTGGGGAATAACCACCGCCTGGGCTTCTAACACCAGCTCCGTAAGGACTCATGCCGCCAGCACCAAAGACAGTATACTCGGTAGCAAAGCCGCTTGGTGTATCAGATCCAGCACTTTGGATAGGCGAGAATTGAGCACCATAATCGGGTGTACCGAGATAGCCACCCTCATTGAGTGGAGATTGGCCGTCGTAAGGAGTTGCAGCACCACCTTCACTGCCCTTAACAGGAATTCCTGCCATAAGACTCATTCGGCTGTTGTCAGAGATAACAGTTTCAAGCATCTTTGGATCGAGCAAAACATCCATCTCTCCAGTTCCCATAGGAGCAAGCTGACCAAGCATAACGTTTTCAGAAATACCACGGCAGTCGTCCAATTCACCTACTGCGGCAGCTTCGAGCAAGATCTCAACAGTCTCTTCGAAAGAACATCTCATCAAAGCTCCTGTGTCTGCGCGATTGATGCCGTGACGAGTGATAGCCATCAAGTGACCACGCGAAGTCATAATGTCAGTAAGAAGGGCAAGATGGCGATGGTTGACATAAGAACCATCGAAAGCCAACACCATGGTCAATTCACGCATCAAAGCGGATCTAGCGGCTTCGATACCGAAGACTTCGAAAACCTGGATGAAATGATTGGAATAGGTTCGTCGAGGATCAACTCCTGGTACAGTCAAGACGTCTTTCAACGAGGTTCCACTAGTATCAAGATACCATTCTTCACAGTCCTTGTCCTCTCTGCTTGCAACCAATCTGCCATCAGGCTTCTCGAAAAGCTTGACATCTTTGTTCAAGAAAGCTCTGTCAATACCTAGAACACCACGAAGAGTCAAAGTATCAAGAATATGAGCCTCAAGACGCTTGAGCATGATGTCTTCTTCGATGTCGTCGTCATCGTACTTCGAATCACTTTGTTTTATCATTCTGATACGAATGACTTGTTGTTCAGCATTGTTATCACTGAAGATGACAGCCAAATCCTTGGGATAATTTTCCTTGATCTTGATAGCAACATCATCGACCTTCAATCCCTTATCCAACATCTTTTGACGATCAAGAATGAGACGAAGAAGCCATCTTGACTGGTTATCTGGAGAATCGTGATGCTCTTCAGGAATGATGAAGTAAGATTCAACCATGTCAACATCGTCCTCGATTGTAGTAGATTGAATGTCAGGATCGTGGTAGATCTCGGTAGCATAAGTAACGGAGCGTAAGGTAGTATGCTCAACAGCACTACGCAATAACTTGGCAGTTTCTTGATTGGCATTAGCACCGTCTTGATAAACAATCATGGACGGTGTCTTAATGTTTGGAGCGATGTTCAAAATTTCCTTGAGACGTGGAACACCAAGAGTAACGTTCTTAGATGAAATACCAGTGAAATGGAAGGTATTCAAGGTCATTTGTGTGGCTGGTTCACCAATAGACTGTGCAGCAAGCACACCAACCATCTCACCAGGATTAACCAAAGCTCTGGTGAAACGACTCTCAAGCTCACCAAGAATGTGTTCAAACGCAAGCTTGTTGAGATGCATACCAAGTGCAATGCGTTTATAAGCAAGACGAGATCTGAACTGAGCCTTGATGAAGATTGTGGCATTATATTGAGCTTCAACGGAAAGTTCGTCAGTACCACGGACGATTATCATGCGATCAAGTAACTGTTGAACTCTTGGAATGACATCTCTAGGGTGCAAGTCACTGCGCTTTCCGTCATCTGTCTTGAATAATCTCTTTGCGCTGTCAATAATTCGAATGATGTTCAATGGAAGTTGGAAGTGGTCATCATCCTTCTCCTTGGTTCGGGAATGTACGAAGTCTCGGAGGAGTCTTCTGTCCTCTTCGAGAGCAGCAAACTCTGTGTCAAGGAGTTGCTGGGTCTCGAGATCTCCG